AGCTTGCAGTACTTGAACCAGGGCTTCACCCGTCCCAAAAGGGGATGGCTCTGAGGCAGCTCTGGAGGGGCAAGGCAGGGAGTCAAACTGGACTGGGGACTCTCAGGACAGACCAGGGCTTGGATTCTCTCCTCTTTTTGGGTGGTTTTTTTTGTTGTTGTTTTTTTTTTTTGTTTTGTTTTGTTTTTTGGTTGTTTTTTTTTTTGTGTGTGTGTGTGTGTTACCAAGGATGGGTTGGAGTGGGACTGACACATGAGTCTCATCAGGCAGGACTCGGCTGCTCCTCTTCCTCTCCCAGCAGTGTCTGCAGGGCTGCAAACTGTGGCAGTTGCAGGCACCTCCTTGCAGGAAAAAGCAGGAAAAAACTGGCAGGCAGTGGAAACAAGTGGCAAGCAGATTAGAAACCCAGCTCCTATTTATAGACAGTCAAGAAACTGCCCCTGTGACAGGGCCATCCATTTAACCCTTCTGGTTCCAAGCACCAACTCACCCAGAGATGCTGAGTCTGTACCATGAAGGAGCATTTTGGCTCAGGGGAAGCAGGACCCTGCACCAGGGCATCTGTAGAGGGAGCAGGAGACAGATCCAGGCACAGTGGAGCTTACAGGGGTTATTCCTCAGCAAGGCAGTGAGGAGAGAGGTGGGGCTATGGTTGTTCAGAAGTTGGGTGACCAAGACAAGGAAAAGAATATCCCAAGTATCCTGCTGCATGTCAGACAGAGAGAGACAAAACTATTTCCTCTAAGAGGGAGGTAATGAACATGTTTTAGGGGCAGTTCCAATGTTTCCAGCCTGTTATCTCCCCTGGGCTTTGGTAAGTTTGAAGGTAATGGGGCCATCCCTTTGAAGGCCACTGAGTATCCCTTGCTGGAGTGGTTGGTGAAGCTCACACAGGGCTGCTGCATCCCACAGGAGTGCACTGTGACCCTGCTCCCTGCTGCTCCTCAGCAGGGTCTCCCCAGAGCTCAGACACTTACCAGCCCCCTGCCGCATTTGGAGTGATTTGTTAAATGTATCCTGCAGCTCCCTCTCGGCTGTTACTCTATCTGCTGTCACTTATGGGTGTCTTTATGCCATAGACGGCTGTTTTATACACTGCCATGGCAAGACTTTCCAGCTGTTCCCCCACTTGCTTGTGTCAATAGCTATTTTTACAATATTGCCTTTCTTCACTTCTTAATTGATCTAAATCCTTTCCCTTAGCTTTCTTGTTAAAGGTGGATTTAAAGAAAAGGACTTCATTATCTCGGACATTTTTGAGTCATTATGAATTTCATCCCTCTCTTCATTAATTACTCATTACCCCTCAGCTCTGGAGGGCTGCTTTGTCCCCGATGTGTTTGTGAGCAGCTTCCCTGGCACCCTGTAATCCCCCCAGCCTGGCGTTAGCTCGGTCTGGTTTACACTGCCTTCACCGTCCCTTCCTCTGCTGCTCCCGCTCTCCTCTGCTCCCAAACAAGCTCCTGCCTTTCCCTTGTGCCCAGCACTGTCTCTGCACAGCCCTGTGACCCCGGGCCCCTCAGTGGCTTGAACCCCATGAGCATCCCGTGCTTCCTGCCTGCCCCAAGGCACGGGCACCCACTCCCTCCGTCCCTGAGCTGTGCAGAGAGGAGTCCCTGGCTCCTGGTTATGGGCTGGCACTCAAGTCTGGATGTAAAAAGCTGGGTTTTGCCAAGTGGTGGCTTTGCTAGGCCTGTTTCAGTACATGCATGACAAAGCAGCATGGAGAACAGAGCAATGCTGTGTAATGGCCTTGGGATTAACAGGCAAATATTTCCCAAGACTTTGGCTGCAGTCAGATCCCCAGGGAGAACCTGAAACCTCTGAGCATCTCCTGTGCTGCAGTGGTCCAGGGGCACCATGGCTGTAGTGGGTGTCACTGCCCTCCCATCCTCCCAGCAGAGAAAATCCATGCTCAGTCAGGCACTCGAGTGCTGACCCTGATGCTGAGCACCTTCTCCAGCCCATTTTCCTGGCACATACTGGCTGTAACCCCGTGTCGTCCACAGATGGATCCATGACTGGGGATCACAATGAGAGATGGCCCTTCTCTGGACCTATACAAGCACACAACCATCCAATCTCTGAGACACCCCCACATCCCAGTCTCATGCTTGGGTGGAACTCCATGCCCCTGCTGCCCCAGCAGCTTCTCTAAAGCTTTGCAGGGCTTTTATCCCCCCCAGAGCAGTGGACGGTTTATGGTCTGCCCTCTCTCCCTGTGATCAGTGTTACACCCATTCCTGCCCTGAGCCTTTTCCCAGAGGATCCTTGGCAGGGCTAGAGTGTGGTTGCTGGGGTGGGTCCTTTCCATACTTCATGGAAGTGTATGAAAAGGCAAAGCAAGAAAAATGTGTTGGGTTGGTGAAAGAAAGAGAAGTGTGTGTGATATTTGCTCAGAGAAGGTAAATGAGGGTTGCACAAGTAAGAGGTTGGGTTGCACAATCAGAAGCAGTGGAATTATTTGTTACCACTGATCAACTGAGCTGCACTTTCTCAGGGGGTTTAAACCTTATTCTTTCTCCCATCTAATTCTTTAAGTGGAGAAAATTGAGATAAGACATCTACCTGGTCCAGGAGTGCAATGCTGTTGATAATATCCCGAGTCACTCCTTGGCACATCCCTTATTGGGAGTGAAGGGGTCACAAAATCATTTTAGGGGGAATGCAAAGGGAAGAAGAAGCAGCAGTTCAGACTCTTCAGGACAAGGAAATGAATTGAGAATGGGCTTTAAGTGCTTCCAGCAAGTCTTCACACTTGCCAGGAATCTGCTACCTACCTTTAATGGCTGGCAGCAACTCCAGTCCTCCTCCATAGAGGTGAGCTCAGCAAAACCTTCTAAACCAAGGATTACAGCCATTCCTCATTCTCCATCTGTGAAGCAGTCACATGGCTGAGGACAAGGGACTTAACCACAAAGGGGATACAAGGGACAGATACTTTCAGGTGGTTCAATAAACAAACTCTCTTCAATGTCTGTGCTGCTTGCTGTCTCATCCCAAAGAACACATCAAAATGCATTGAATTGTTTAGGTTGGAAAAGACCCCTAATGTCACCAAGCCCAGCTGTTAACCCAGCACTGGCAAGTCCATCATGAAACCATGTCCATAAGTGACACATCTATATCTTTTAAATACCTTCACAGACTGTGACTCAGCCACTTCCCTGGACAGCATGTTTCAATGCCTTACAACCCTTTCTATGTTTTTTTTTTCTTAGTATCTAATGTAAACCTCCCCACATGAAACCTGAGACCCCTTTCCTATAAATTGTTACTTGGGAGGAGAGAACACCTGTCTACAGCCTCTTTCAGCTGGTTGTAGAGAGCTATAAGCTGTCCCCTGAGCCTTTTTCTCCAAAGCACCCCACCAGCTCACTCAGCCACTCCTTGTAGTATTTATGCTCCACACCCTTGCACAGCTCCGTTTCCCTTCCCTGGACACACTCCAGCACCTCAATGTCCTTCCTGTAGGAAGGGGCCCAAAACACAGCATTTGAGGTGCAGCCTCACCAGTGCCCAGCACCGAGGGACAATCACTGCCCTGCTCCTGCTGGCCACACTGTTGCTGATCCAGGCCAGGTGCCACTGGCCTCCTTGGCCACCTGGGCACAGCTGGCCCATGTTCAGTCACTCTGGGTTCTTTTCTGCTGGGCACCTTTCCAGCCACTCTGCCCCAGCCTGTGGCACTGTCTGGGGTTTTGTGATCCAAGTGATTTGACACTTCACCTTATTGAACCTCACACAATTGTCCTGTCCAGATCCATGTGCAAAGCCTTCCTGCCATCTAGCAGCAACACTCCTGCCCAACCTGGCATTGTCTCTAAACTGACTGAGGGTACATTTGATCCCTTTACCCAGATCATTGATAAAGACATAAAAAGACATAAAACAAGACACTGAGTCCTGAGGAACACCGCTGGTGACCGGCTGCCAACTGGATTTGATTCCACTCACGACCACTCTGGGCCTGGCCATCTGGACAGTTGTAATCCAGCAGAGCACACCTGCCCAAGCCATGAGCAGCCGGTACCCCCAGGAGGTGCTGTGGAAAATGGTGTCAAAAGCTTCACCGAAGTCCAGGTAGAAAATATCCACAGCACCCCCCTCTTCCACTCCGTGGGTCACTTTGTCACAGAAGGAGATCAGGTCAGTCAAACAGGACCTGCCTTTCACAAACCAACAGTGTCTGGGTCTGGTCCCCTGATTGTCCTGTACAAGCCTTGTGATGGCACTCAGGAGGAGCTGCTTCATGCATTAAGTACCTCAGCCTTTCCCTCACCCTTTGTCACTATGTTTCCCATGCATCCAATAAAGGACAGGGATTCTCCCTCTGGCTCTTAATTGCTTATTGTCTTTTACAGCAGTAGCCAGATTAAGTTCTAGCTGGGATTCAGCCCCTCTAATTTTCTCCCTGCATAACCACACAGAAAGTACTCTGGGAAGAAGCAAGGGCCACTGGGCATGGACCTTCCCTCCTGCTGTTCTGACACACAGCAGAGACAAAAAAGACCCTGTCACCACAGAGGCAAGATATGCAGCAGGGAGAGCCATCACTATCTCTTGCTCCCAGCACCTGAATCTCAGTGCAGAAGGGCTGACGTGGGGCAGGGCTTGGTGACAGTGAAGTGTCAGCACTGGTGTTCATGCTCTGTGATACTCTCCATATATTCTTCTATCTAGGAATATTCACACCAAAAGCCTCCCCTACAAAATCCGAACCTCTTGTGCACTTCACTTCCCCAAATGCTTCATCACCCAAATTTCTACAGCCATGTATCTCAAAACCTCTGTAATTCCCTCAACAAGCCTCAGAAGACAGGTTATCTTTGAAGCCCTTTCTCCTTGAGTTACATGACTTTGCATGACCATCAGCTTTCAAACACAATTTTATCAAATAAGACCAAATAATTTACAAGCACAGGTTGGAGTAAGGAGCTGTGTTGGACAGTGAATTACTTTGATGTTCCTCCCCCAAGAAGAAACCCAACTTCCACTTATTCTAGGGCAAACTCAAAAGGTTTTATTTTAATTTTTTTTTTAGCAAATTCTATCACATAAATGTTAACAAAAAACATCTGTACAATTGCCATGATACACTCAAAAGTGAAACAAATAAGATATAAATACAGATATGGATGTAACATGACAAAAGCAGAAAAAATAGAAAAAAATACATGCGCATGAACACGGTGCCAACAAAGTAATTTCTCATGGCTGGCATTTTTCAGAGCTTTTTTTACTTCCCATTTAAAACATTGTTAGCAACGTCCTGCTGTGTACTACAAAGGTCTATTTTTCTGTCCCTTAATATGTAATATTATGTTTGATAAATAAAGGGGTGGGGAGAAAAAGTTCTGATGACAAAGATGCAAGTTACATTACTTATACAGGTTATTGATAAGCTAGTAGTAAGCAGTTAAAAAGACAGTCTCGTATTGTATTGTAATCCAGGCAAGCACACATAGTGTACCTTAAGAAAGCCACATGCCTCGGTATTTCTGAACTACATGAGAACTACAGTACGTAGACCTGTGGGGCAGATGGAGCTGGGACTTGCCCATGCCCACGGAGCACTGGTGCAGCCAATGGCAGAAAAAACATCCACATCTGAGATTTCGGCAACCTTGCAGCCAAGAGCTGCTGTCTGCTGAGAGTTTTCTCCCATTCAGATTTTTAAAGCATGGTGGACAAAGAAAATACACTTGTTTTTCTTTTTTTTTTTTTCCTTTCTTTTTTATTTTCCCTTTTTTTTTTTTTTTTTTTTAAAGGTACGAAAAATTGAAGCCCTGCATAATGGGCAGCAAGAAAAAAAAAAAGGCAGCTGCAGTAGGTGGCTACTGCCAGGAGAAGGTGAACACAAGCTTCACCGGAGCAGTGAGGCACTGCAGCATGCAGACCTTCCTCTGCAAGCGTGCGTGGACACTGATTTGTAGCCAGAGAGACCTTTATGCTTGCTGAAGAGAGAACAAGATGATTGTACAGCTTGTTGAAGTTAAAACTGGAGATCAGAGAGGTGACATTCAGAGCTAGCCCTTTGAGTACTTCAAAGGAAACACAAAAAAAAACCAAACTGGGTCATGTTCAACATACTAAACAACCCTAACTATGTACATTATCCGCAATGATTCATAAATACCTAAGCAGAATGCTCCTACTGTGTACAGGTAGAACATATCCTAGAGTACTCAAAGGATGGACAGTCCTCGACTCACGCAATGGAATTAAGTAGCACATTAATGAGCATCTGTTGACAAACAGAACTGAATCTGATTCAGGAAGTAAGGCCTGAGTCTACCCTTTGCAGCCCCGGGCGTGCCAGTGGCCTCGGGAAGTGCAGGCTGGCCGCAGGCGCCTTTTCAAGGACGAGCTTTGACCCCGACTGAGGTGTCAGGGACGTTACAGTGTGTTCACTCTCAGTGCATACCAACAGGATTTTATAAAACATATAAAATCATTTGAGAAGGAATTAAATTCCTGGAGATTTGCTACAGTGTGCCATTCAATGGAAAGAAAAAAAATCAAGACCAACAAACAGCAAATGATGATAGACCAAGCTCCATCACAGCTGGGAGGGACTAACACCACCTGGCCAGCTATGCTGACCTTTTGAACCCCAGAACTGGAACAGAAGATGATGAGCTGAGATGGGGAGAAAGAGAGGCATAAATACTAAGCAATTAAGAGCACAATTAAAAAAACAAAACAAAAAAACACCCCAAAAACCCCCTAGCCCGCTAATAAAAATTCAAACAAGACAGCTTAACTGCTGCCAACAAGTCAACTAAGTATTTCCTCAAAAGGAAAAATAAATTTGTGTTAAAATAAAATTTGAAGCATTCAAAAAAATCGAAAAAGAGCATTCTAACAAGCATACAGAAAGATGTGAAAAATAAATGGTCCACGGAAAGGCAGACACGAACCATGGAGCAGCCAATCCCCCCCTTTAAGTGAGGATGGCTTTTCTGAGCCTGCATAAAGACCCTGGGGGAATCCCACACCCCAGGAAAGCACACGGTTTCTCCTGCCATAGCATTACTGGTTGGGAAAGATGAGGGAACTAGTCCTGCAGCCAGCAAAAGCCTGCACATGTATGTAACAGGAGCAGGTCACCTCCCCTGCTCTCAGGTGAGCAGGGAAAGGGACCAGCAAACTTTGCAGCCCAGTGCCACACAGTCCTCCACTAGCCCAAATCCCTCCTGAGACAAGGACTGGGAGAAAAGCTGGCACCAAGTGTCAGCTCCCAGCTTAGTTCCTCAGGGATGGGGCTGAAACACACAGGGATAATGATGGAAGGAGCTTTACCCTCCCTTGCTGCAGTAATGGAGTCTCATGTTCTCAGTATGTTGCTAATGTGTCCCTTCAGCTCCCTAAAGGGGAGATGGAGGAAGCTGGAGAGACTCCAGGGCACTGAGTGCAGCCAGGGAATGCACATGCATCACCACAGCTGCAGCCATAAGCTGCAGGCCCAAGGCCCACCACCTTCCTGTGGCACTGGGGGCAAAACCCCAGCTTGTGATCCATGGCAGTTTTAGGGTGGGCATGCCCATCAGCCAGGATCCAGCCCAGGACCAAACACAGCATGTACATTAGCAACCTCCTGCCTTCCCTGCTTACAGGCAGAGCCAGGGGGAGCTCTCCCTTTGCAAACAGAAGGGTCTCTGTTCAGGGAAGGGCAGTGCCACAGGGTATTTGATTGCTGCTGGTTTGCCTCTGACCTGGTCTGAGTCATTAGGCTGCAAAAGGATTTTTCCTGCTGCACCCTCACCCACACCACCCTGGCTGCCAGCAGTGCCCAGTGAGGGACCCCCACTCTTCTGAAATGCAGAGCACTCAGCAAACCTGTGCATGGAGATGGCCACAAAGGAGCTTTCTAAAGGGAGTTAACAGCACTGCAGGGTCTTCAGGAACAGGACGGGCTGTGGCAGGCAACCAGCACTGTCCCAGCTGGCTCAGAAGCACTTCCACGTGGTATTTCTGTTCAGATTCAGACACCCTTTCTGTCCTCTGGGATGTACATTTTGCTGAAAGTGCAAAGGAGTTGTGGGGACAAAGCCATCCAGCACCAGTGGGTCAGTCAGAGCAGTAGATCAGCCCTTTGATGCTACAGATTTCAAGGAAAACAGCTGGCACTGAGGTACAGCTCTACCAGCTCCCACTGCCCACCCACTGACACACTCAGAGCACAACCCAACCCCACCCACCTAACCCCACCACCCTATCTGCAGACCTCAGTCCCAGAACTGGGTCTCGGGTTCCCTTCGGGGAGTAAAAGGTAACCTAGAGAGTCTTTTGAACTTATGAAAGAGCCAAATGGGTTGAGAGGGGAGAAGTATTTACAAAGCCAATGAAGAGAGCACGAGTCCAGCTGTTATGCACAGCACAGCTGGCTGGAGAGCAGTTACAGAGAGATCAGCCCACCCAGGGTCTGTCAGAACTATGTACAAAACTCAGATGTTTAAAAAGAACCTACGTTTTCATTACTCACTTGGTATCTCTCAGTATTAAAGCATCTGAGGCTGGAATCACAGCCGCACCTGCAAAGATCTCCCCATGGAGGGCCCTGCAAGTTAGGCAAGCTGTAACAGGGAGTACAAAACAGGAACACAAGACTTGAAAGAAGAGAAGGACCCAGCCAGAATGGGTGGGGGAGAGAGCAGGTAACTAGCACACAGAAACCAAAACTGGGTATGAACTAAACCAACAAGATTTGTTTGACTTTTACATGTGTCCAGAATCTTGGACTCGGAGTTAGAATGCTAACCTAAACATATTTCTGAGATTTCAGCAGGCTATACAAATATGTTTAAGTATGGCTTTCTGATGTTCACTTTTAATGAAGACTGCGACACAGACCTTGCTTCCTTTACATTCAATACCAGTAAGATTCTACATAAAAGCTTTAAGGGACTAAAATACTGATTGCAATAAATATCTGCAAGGCCTCCTTAAGCTGATGGAGCGCGCCAGTGAAGAGTAGCAGAAAGGTCTCTGAGAGGCACCGTTGATTGCTTCTAAGTCTACACATATGTCCACAGATCTCCATTAACTGTGCGTTGAAACATCTGAAGAGGAGCTGCTGTTGCTGTTGGTGGTCTGTGCCCTCTTTATATACAAGTTTAGTAGCTTCATCTGAAAGAAAGAAAGAAAGAAAGAAACATCAGGAGAAGATGCCAGAAAAAAACAGGTGGGGAAAAGTTGACTGCCAATGTAAAAACTTGCATTCTGTGGCGAGCTCACACTGGGCACTCTGAAGGAAAAGCAAGATAACTGACCATATTTCAGAACGGAGACAAGAGGCCATGCCCAGTCCCACTGGAGTTGCAGACAGACTTAACGGGATTTAGAAAAGCCTCTTGCATTTCACTTCAGCAGCCATCAGTTCACAGACCTCAATCCTGCAGCCAGGTCAGGTCAAGCAGGCTTCCCACAGAGGTCAGTAGGGCTGCAGGCACACTGGTGATCCAACAGCCATGGGTCTCCCTCCTAAGAAACACCCTGAACTTTCCCTGCTTTATAAAATGTTCTTTTTCAATGACAGTGTATCTTCACTAACATGGTACATCTAGTGCAACTGCAGTTGTTTTGACTATATACTTCCCTTGCATGGATTTGTTTTCTTTTTCCTCCTTGCCACCTTAACTCCAGATCCCATAATGACTCATGTTTACATTTAACTTTTGACAGGCAGGCAGTCTGCATAAACCCAGAAGAATTACTTACATGTTTATAGTTAGTGATGCGGAGTATGCTTGTGGCACTGAGGATACTGGGATAATAAAGCCTCTATAATATTTTATAGGGGGACTTCCTAACATCCCAAATATAAAGGGGTAAACCTCAGCACACATAGCTGTCTTTTTGCAGAACAATTTGGAGGCACAACTGTAATTTGTTTAGTGACAAGACAGAAATAAAACCCAAGTGTCTTTAATCTCGGATTGTTTTGGCCTATGCCACACTTCCTTATCCATGAAAGAAACTATGACTTCAAAATGACAGAATTGAGCCCTCTGAACTAAGTAGCTATTCATGTGCACAGACCTGTTTCAGAAACAAAAAATGCAGAATTCATCTTAAAATTGCATAGAAATCTTGGGTATGAAGACTTAAAACAGCAGAAAAAAATTTTGTGGTGGTTTGTTGAGCAGCTCTGAAAAGCAAACACCAACATAAAATTCTTGTCTGAAGGATGGAGTTGAATTAAGGGCTTGGTTTCACTTGCAGCATCAAGTCAGAATTTGGGTTTTGCAGCTAGTCTGACTTCAGGGTATAAAGTCCTTTGAAGGGTCATTTGAGCTTGCTGTTGTCCCAGAAGGAGAGGGACACATGTGCCCTGCAGTTAAGAGTGAAGGTTTACCTGCATTTCTACCAGCCCTAATCACAACTTGCTGCTGAGAGGATCTGCTCTCCCACCATCCCCATGCATTCCCATCACTCTCTGCACGAGGATGCCTGTGTGGCCACAGAACAGACTGAAAGCTATTTAATTTGTATTGCAGATCTGGTTTTCAGCCAGAGCAGCCAGATGATCCAGCTCACTGCACATCACCTCTGGATGTAATACCAAAGGAGCAAGGCAAACATGGCTGGAGAAGAACCTGCTCAGAGGCAGCCTGCAGTTACACAAGATCAAATGTATCATGAAACCAATCTCCGAACACCATTAAAATTTTCCAAGTGGGATTTCAAATGCTCACACTGCTGAGCAAGAGTGGTGCTGTTCCAGTGGCATTTGTCAGGGTGAGACAGGATTTAATAGAGTTCAGGGAACTTGACCCAGAGCTACAGTGAAGCCACTGGTCTTGCTGCTCGTAACAGCCAGCAGAATGGCTTGTACTACCAAAACACCAGAGACACATTACTCTTGTACCTTGCTTCCTGTGAGTTGTGCGAGATGAGGTTTCAGTTCTTCTCCAATTACTGAATAAATAGCCACTAGGCAAAATACACTGGCTTTCCGGACACTGCTCTCTGTGTTATCATAACCCTGGAAATGAGAGGAAAAGGTCAGAAGATAAACAGCACTCCCCAACACCCTACCTGAGCAATATACTACAGTGCTGATGTACATTTTGCAAATGTGGCTGACCTAAGAAATCAATAAAAAAAAACTCTGCTTAACATAATAGTTTGCAACCTGAATACTCAAAGAGCAAGAGAATGCAATCACCCTATCTGTTCCTTCTGTTATTATTTATTACTGACATGTTGTAAGTTATTAATATCTAGTTATTTATAGCATTAGATAACAACACAGGTTTCCTAACACGAGCTCGGGACTCCACACACACTTCTGTGTCCAGTTCAGACCATGAACTATCCTGAACAGTCAGGACACTCTGGAGGGCAGCTTACCCATCAAGTAGGAAATACCACAGGAAAGAACATGTGAAAGATCCCTGTACATGTGCTGATCTCTGGCAACTTGGGCAGAGCTCAAACTAGCCACCAGGTCACTCAGCAGCTATGGACACCAGTCCCAAACTCAGGCAGAGATCACTCAGCAGCCATCCCACCCCAAGAGAAAGGCAGACATCACTTCAGTCTGCGGGATGCTGCTCCTCCGGATGCAGGGTGACCTCTGCCGGGAAAGCCAGAGGAGGGATGCAGCACAGCTGGAGCTGTTCCAGCTGCAGGGCTGAAGTACAGCCCAAAGTGATCTTGTGCAATCCCACAAAGCACTGAGCTAGGAAAGCAGGAGACCTCGGTGAGCTCAGAGAAACACCAAGCTATTGAGCATCAAGGGGGAGAAAACACTGAGCCTCCTCATCAGCACCAGGGCAAGCACCACGACCCACTCCAAGCCCTGTTCTTCCATGGAGTCCCCATCTGTCCATGGAGAGCCTGCTCCAGGCTGTTGAGCTGCACACTTGTGCTCACACTGCTGCTGACACTGCTTGCCTCCTTCCTCACCACTCTGCCAGGACCCTCAGTGTGGTAAACTCAGGGTTTGTGGGGTAAACAAGCACAAAGGTTGCTCTCCACACACAGTCCTTCAGCCAGGATCCCAAAGTACTTCTCAAATGTAAGGAGTAAATTCCTTTGATCACTGAGTTTCTAAGGTAAGGAATTATCTCAGACAAACTAGGCTCTGAAACAAGAACCATTTAAAGTAATTGAAGAAGACAAATCAAACTGCCTTTTTAAAGGCATGCTGCTCTCAGACTTTTCCAGTGCATCAAAGCTTCGCTGTTCAGATTGTTGTCTCCAACAATGATGGCCAAAACCATTTTACAACAAAAGTTTAGATGAATACAGAATTGTCCAATTCCCAGAAGCTGAGATTTAAGAATTGCAAGAGCTGACACTACAAAGTTGGGATGAATGCCAGGATGCGTAAGGGGAATTTCTGACTTTGCTCTTGTCCTTCCAACATTTTATGCTCACAATGAGAAGGCCTCTTTATCCCAGTTCTCCATGGAAGTCTTACCCACCCAAACACTTCTATCCCTTGCACTCTGACTGATCTGTTCCTGTCACAGTCTCTCCCCAGTAAACACACACATTTTCTCTCCTCCCTCACTGCTACTTCACATATTTCCTTCTTGTTTGCAGCCCCATCCCAGAACTGCCAGCTTCTTGTGCAGGGGACCAGAAGACATTTCTATGGCCAGTGCTCAAAGTTAAATCCACAGTGTACAACCAAACCTTAGCACTGGCAAAAACACAGCTCCCCACGCAGCCTGAGAGGGTTATGAAAGAGGCTGAATGAAGTCAGCAAGTAGCTTTGTCTTAATTTCAGAGAGAAAAGAGAAAAGGAGCAACCTGCCTGCTGGGATTAAAATTCAAGTGCAAAGTACCATCAAAGCACAGAACAGTTCAGCAGAATTGAAGGGAAATTAAAGACTACAAGATGTATACAGACAGTATAAAATGCGGCTAACTCCTACCCTCAAATTTATTACATGGCTGCAACTGGCTTATTTAGGAGTCAGAAAAAGGCATTCAGCTGTGGAACATACACACAAGAACCTGAGCTTTCCTTTCCTTAACCCTAAAGGGATCAAAAACTTATATAAAAAAAATTATTTTACCAAAAATTAAATGGTTTCGTTTACCAAAATCTGGCCCTGGAGGATCCATCATTCTCCCTTAGGGCACAGATCTCATAAATTAATGGTGGCTTGTGCTCAGGAGCAGTGACATGGCATTCTGTACCTGTAACAACCCAGGAATGATATCGGGTAGGAGCTGATGCAACGATTCCTTGGAAATCCTCTCGATGACTTTCGTTTGCATTTTGATGGCAGCTAAGTTAATTGGATAATCTGCAGTCTGAATGATGGGGCAAAGCACCTTGATGCACTGCTCAGGGTGGATGGAACTCGCCAGGGTGGAAGCAGCTTCTTCAGCAGCTCTGACGACCTGAAATGAAAGTAGAACAAACTCTAATGTTAATGAGGTCACACCTGACAGCCACCATTGCTGGTGTGCTAGGAGTGACTGCCAGGAAATGCTTGGGGATGTTCATTAACAGATCTGCACGAGGCTCTGTTGAGGGACAACTGACTCTTGAGAATTCACATCCTCTGCCTCCAGTGACATCTTTGTTCCAGCCAGTGGCAAGAAGTCCTTCCTGCCTAACATAACTGTGGTTAGTGTTATGGTTAGTTTGAAAAAATTATCTGTCACCCAAAACAGACAGGCACTCCCAGACCAGGAGGAGCAAGAGGATGACACCTCTCCAGCCACTGTCAAAGAACCTAAACCCACCAGCTTAGACTGACACAAGATGTATCTCCTTAACCATGACCACCAATGGCCTGCTGCAGTTTTCGGTGTGCACCTCAGTGCCGAGTGCCCTGTGCCCATGCTGAGACACCCACCCATGGCAGCTGTGTCCTTCCCCTTCCCAGCTGAACTACACTGCAGTCAAATCCAGGTCACAGACACAAACAGGCTTTAGGGAGGCCATGACCAGGCAGCTTTGCTCTCAGCATATGTAACCCATTCAAGGCAGCACTGGAATCACCATACAAAACTGGAGGAAGGACAAGTGGAACAGCAGCAGCACCCACCCTCTGCAACAAGCCCACAATGTAAAGCAGTCACACAAAGCAAGGTTGATGCTAAATTCAACTCTACCCTGAGAGAAAGCAGATTCACAACTTTAACTCTTCCCAAGCAGGTAGGACAGCTAGTTCAAAGAAGACCCAAATCTGGTCTCTTCTCCCAAGAGAATTTATTAATTTTACATTCTGCAGTAATTGGATAAAAAAGAACAGGATGGGAAGGCAGGTTTTCTTTTTTCAAGTGTCTGTGCTAATTGCCAGGCAACAAAATGAAGCTTCCTCTTGGCTGCACTCTTCCTGGCCACAAATAACACACTCTTTGCTCTTCATGTTCTTGTTACAACACAAAAGGTGGAGGATGCTTTTTCCCATCTTCTCTCCCTCCCCTCTTCTCAGGGCTTACTTTAAAGGGAGGGTAAATCCTGAATAGACAGAGATGCTCCCATGGACAGACTTAAATCCAACACCTCAACTTTAAGTAGAAAGAAGCATTCACAAATCCTCATGTTTGGGATCTTCCAGCTAGTCCCAGGAAGTCCCTAACTGAGCCCAGGAACATTAAACCTCTTTCCTGGTTGTGTGGGAGGCTCAGGTGCCCAGCACCAATTCTCTACCTCCTCCTAAACTGAACTACCTGGAATTGTCTGAAGTCAATACTTTGAAACCAGCACCAGGAAATCTGTCCCAGGCAACCTGCAACACAGCAAATAAATCAAACCACAGGTCTGCCATTTAGACTGAAGCCATGGCTGCTGAATTTGCCTTGTTCTCCTTTCCCACACACTGTGATGGCATCAAACTTGGGGATTTCTATTTGAGTAAGGCAACCTATGGGCAGATATAGCTCTATCAAAGCTTCAAAAGAAGGTGAGCTTTCATTATTTTTAAGCAACTATGGAGGATAATGCATGAACAAGGAGTAGCTGGAAGCTTATTTTAGTCCATGGACTACAAAACACAAAGTTTAATTGACTTCTAAGATAACAGCAATTAAGTGACCAGAAGGGATCATCTCCACCTACACAGCCTGCTTTACCCACAGCATCATAGCCATGCTGCTAACATTTATCTTCCACTCATGCTGACAGCTACCTCCCTGAAACAGGAATGACACAAGACACTTGTATTCCCAGGAAACAGCAGAACTCATCCACTTGGCTTTTGGCATTCTCTAAGGCAGATCCAACAGTGAATGTGATCTCACACTTCACACAGCACAAATATTGCATGCAGGCAAGATATGGGCAGGATGGTGAAGCAACCTGAGATTTTTGGACTGCTTCTATACCAGTGCCCTACTTACACAAGTAAAGCTGTCCAAGTGTTCCATTTACTTCAGGCCTTTCTCAGCATTTAATTATAACATTAAAACATATTCCAAAATGAATGGCAATTCACAATGTGGTCAGTATTAAAAAAAATGCTTCCTGAAAGATCTGTGAGTAGCCATGCAGAACAGAATGCTTGCTTTCCCACTTAACAGCAAGTTTTCCCTCTTCCAGCTATTTCTTTGCTAATTTCTCTTCAATTTCACATATGAGAAGCATGAAAGTTAATATTCTTCCACATAAGTTAGTACTAGTTTAGGAGCCAGCACTGCATGATTTTGTTGGGAAAGAAAAGAAACACCCAAGTACTTAAGGAAAGCCTGATGCCAGTCTTTGATAGCCCAGAGTGGAATTTCTAGAGTGGATTAAGTCAGGAGCTCCCAGAAGGTCTCTAAAGGAATCCACTTCCTGGCACTGCAGCTTCTGATGTTTGCTTTCCACAAAGGATGGAAAGCACAAACTTACAGAGGGCCCTGATACTTTACCATCAATTTAACTATCCACTAGCAAGCCACTAGCTAAAAACCCCTGAATACTACTATTTGAACAAAGGCCACTTAGGATTTTGTTCTGCAGCAACGCCAAACACTGTTGGGAAGTGTTTTCAGACACTCTCAGAAAGAAAAGTTTTCACATATATCACAACACACTAAAAGAAAATTGTAAAAAAAAAAAAATTAAAACTTATATCCTCTTGGTATCCTACTTGATAAAAAACCAACAATATTTTAGTATAAACCTATGTCTAGACTCTGATCTCAAACACACTACCATGAAAAAAGAAAAAAGGAGAAGATGAAAAATTTAATGAATATTCTATCTGGGTTTCAGCTCCATATCCTGTTTTCACACAGTTTACTATGCCTATTATGTTGAAGGTATGAAACAAGTGCATAAGACAAAAAGTCTATTAACCAATTCCATGCACAAGGAGCATTAAAATACAGTCATAATTTTTCACAAAATAAGCAAAGGTTCAACAGCAACAAAGGTCACACATATTTTGCCCATTAAAAAGTGAGCAAGGAAAGTTGTGAAGGTACAGAAATTATTTATGGCCCTGACGATCCTGCTTTCAGCACTGCTGCCCAGTTCTAGCACAGATGTGGCTACATTTAGGCAGAGGCTGGCTATTTCACATCTCTTCTCCCTGCACTGCCTTCCCCCTGAACACAGGAGGATGCATTACACATGTCCAGCATGACAGGAACTTGTAAATGTGACAACACCAGGGAGATTTCCAAGCCTCCCATAAGCACATCTGGGGGACAATGCCTGCAGCTCAGCCACACTTCAGCAAACCCCGAGTGTGTGATTAACAACATGCTCAAGTCTCACTGACATCAATGGGATTCCAGCATGTGCTTACATCCTTGTGTGGATGAGAGCCTCTGCAGGTAACCAGCTCCTGGCTCCCTGGGGAAGCACCAGAAGGTGATAGGGCATAGGAAGGGGTAGGGCAATACCAGCTGATGGTGAGACAGAGAGAAAAACTCATCCCTGCTGGCACAGGAAGCCAAATGCCACGATTTTGCAATGTAACTACCAGCCCTATCCTGCCTCCTGGCTTTGGCAAAACAAAACATTCAGCCACCCAGACAGACTCTGCATCCCACCAGGGGCTCTCAGTATTTACCCAACCAGCTCAGAGTCCCACTCACCTGGCACTGCCAGAGAAATCAGCAGCATTTCCAAACAGAGGGAAGTGCATTACCAAAAAATACAACCTGCCAGGTCATTTGGCAACAAGAACATGCAATTGTAATAGAGTTTAGCAAAGACATTTTGCCACGAGGCACAATGCTTGTGCCTTGCAAATTGTACATACCTTACAATATCAAAAAATCAAGTATCTTTCTTAATCAGGGCTTTAACCTGACCAGCAGAGTGAAACAACCTTAAAAGGAGTGGGAGAAAGGAATAAACAGGATCAAGGAACAGGTCTTCCTCCCAGCTTTGAAGGCAAGATCAACAGATACACATGGGGAAGTGACAGGAAAGGCTCGTACAAGCAGTGACACCACAATAAGTAGTGTCTATGTAATCTATCCTTTAAGCCCACAGAAATGAAAGGGTGCTGATTGCTACGTGCTCAGACACAGGAGGATTAAAAGTCAGACAAGTTAACCAAAGGAAAAAAAAAGCCAACACACACAAGGAGGCAGGCAGAACCACTCACAGGGAAAGACTTTAAGACAGCTGTAAGGGGGAAGGATATTCACAGGGAAGCATCACTGTATGCTTGCTTCTTGCTAGTCAGTCAGGTAGGGTGTCAAGCGAAGCAAGATTTTTGTCTGACCTCGTATAATTATTCTTAGGAATCTCAGACGTACAAAAGAAAAGTAGAAAAGTCACCAAATGATGGTGGCAGCAGGAAACAGCAGGTTCAAAAGGGTGGCTATGAGACAAGATGATAGAGAGCCTTCTTTGAAAGCACAGACACTAAAATGTGTGTAAGGGATGTCACAAACATTATTTTACCTCCTAGTAAAAGCTTAGAGCAAACCATGGCTTGAACTGGATAGACTGACATCATTCAACACAGGGCAGGTAGCCCTGGAATGCAGATCTAAGAGATAGCTCTTGCCCTTAAAGCAGCAGGTTTTACTCCTTTCTAAAGGCTTACCTTGTGCTCTACACACTGGTGACTAGATTCAGCCTGACTTTTGCTGGCATAACATAAGCTCTGTGTGCTGGTGGGTTCCTTGAAAGACATCTGTGATGCATCAAGACCTTTCTAGTGAGTCTCAAGAAAGACAAGTTTTCATACTTCCACCCAGTTTGCTCTAGGGAAGGAGCCATATTCACATGCACAAAGCCAGCAAGGTGTAGCACACAGAAAACTGTTCACCTCTAGCAATGTCTTCCTTAATGCTACCAAGGACTAAACTTCAAAGAAACAGGTCAGGCAGTCCCAGAGATATGCATGGGAATTGCTTCCTGATTTCAGTGTGAGGGGATATGCTAACATGCAGTATTAGTGTGACCAAGGCAGTGGCCTGTCACAGATCCTTGCCTTCTAATA